GTGTGTGTGTGTGTGTGTGTGTGTGTGTGTGTGTGTGAATAAATACACACAGAGGCCATGGGCCTTCAGAACCATGTGGCTTAGGGATCATGACTCAGTCTTACCTCCAGTGTCTCTCTGATCTAATGTTCTCTTTCTCTGACTCTCTTCTTTCCAAGTGCAGGCCTTTCTCTATTGCCCACATGTATTCACCTCCAGATTTTACCCTGGACAACACTCTAAAACACCTCTCCCTCACAGGCTTCACTTAGCTGAGACCTATTCTAGAGTATCATCCCCTCAATGAACTCTTGTTGGCCACTTGGGTTAAGCAAATTAATAGCCTCCACATGTCGACAAACCTACAGATAAGTTATGAATAAATAACAATAAAGGAGAGATGTGTCTGCAATACAACTGAGATGTTAGTCACCTGACCTGAAGACAGGCAGGGGTTCCTGCTTATTAATGTATTAACAGGAGTTCTGCAGAGCAGAAAAGGAGGCCCAGAAGAGAGCCATGGAGAAACATGTGGTCAACAGTGTGAGCTTTAAAAATGGAAAGGGCCACCAGCCAGAGCGTGGGGCAGTCTGCAGCCTGGGAAAGTCAAGGAAACAGCATTTCCCAAGAGCTTCCAGGAGGACCAGGGCTGTGCCAAGATCTTGATTTTAGCTCAGGGAGACCAATTTTAGACTTGGATTTTGAAAGCAGCACAACAATCAATGTGTGTTGTTTAAAACCCCTCAGGTGTGAGCTAATTTTCTGTAGCACTAAGGGAAAGCTGATGATCCACCCTGTCTGAAATAAAGTTACTACCTACCGGAAAATTCGCTCGTATGTACCTCTATGGGTTTCAGCAGTTACATTTCGCAAATATTTCCAACAATCAGGAAGCTAGACGGTCCACCAAGCTGCCCCAGTTCCCTCAAGCTGCCCCAGCTCCCTCCTGCTGCCCCTTCCAAGCTGGTTCCTCCCCTTTGGAATGAATGTTCAGCAAGGATTTCAAGAGAGACCCAGTTTTGTAATGGACACTTCATCTTTACAAAAATAATCCGAAGAGCAGAGGATCGCTTTTTGGCGGTGTCAGCAGACCTTTGCAGTACTACCCTTAGCATCAGAGATCCCAGTTCTGGCCTTTCTGCATGGCTGAGATTGACGGGCACTCCCCCCAGACTGTCTGGTGACATTCATCCGCGATCTTCCCATCTGCGTTTCATAACAGGGCAGGACTGCTGTGAGAGGCAGAGTGTTTCGAGTATAAACCACCTATCAGCGAATCGGCTTGTTTGCCTATCTCAGATCTTACAACGTGGCCTACGACTGACATTACTTCTAATCTATTTTAGAATTCGTTATACAGATACACCTCCTGTGCAGATACACATGTTTTTGGTAAGCATGCACTTAAATTCAATTTTGAAAAATTAGACATTTTCATTAAATGTACTAAACATGTTTGTTGTCTTAAAGATGAATGGATGCTTCTGATGAAATCATCACTAGCTTTCTATCTATCTTCCACAAAGATCTGTTTCTGTAGCCAGACAGTACCAGTTGAGTGCACCTATGAAGACATCTCCACGGTGTTGGCCACGATCCTCATCCTCATCATGGATGTAGGAATCTGCACAGGGCTCCAAGTACACGCCTCAGCCAATCAGCTTGAATGTCAACGCGCAGTTTTCTTCTTTCAGAATAATTTCAAGACGATTTTCGACATTTCTCTTAGAATGCTGCATCTGTTGCCTGGAGTATTCTTGCCAAGAACCTGGAAGCCTGTTCCGTCACACAGACTTCCAGCTTCTTGAAAGAATTTTGCAGATTAAGCAACAGGCGCCTAGTGTTCATACTACTCAACTAGCCGTGGAGCAGATCTGTTTTCCATTTCTAGTTGGAGTTTCAAGGGCTTCCTCTTTCTAATTACTTCCTCCCTCTCCTTTGGTTGCTAAGCACAGTGGGGTCCGCTGCCTCCTCCCTTCTCCTATCAGGACTCAGTTGTGTTTGTTGTGGGGAAGTCTAAGCCAATGGAGATTCCTTTAGGAATGGGTGGTAGGTGTCTTTATGAGGCCAGCATATTTAGACATAGTAGCCTCAGGGATTGTTCACAGAAAAAGACGAGGGTCAGCTGAATAAGTCTTGGTCAGTCAAGATGAGCATATGGCTAGTAATATTTCTGCATATGCATTCATATACCTATTACCTTCCATATGCCAACATATATTTCTGCATATATAAATTCATCTATGTATATTTGTGAGTAGTCCAACTTCACTTATTTATTTATTTATTTAGTGATGGAACTTAAACTCAAGGCCTCATCCATACCAAGAAATCACTCTGCCAATCAGATTCAGGCCTCATCCCGTTATCATTCCTTATCCATATCAGTTTTCTGGGCTAGGGATTGACCCTGACTTCCCACATACTAGGCAAGCATTCTACCACTAAGTGATAGCTCCACCTAAAGATGGGTCTCAGTTGTCCAAACTGAAATAGGACTCACTCTTTAGCCCATACAGGCCTTGAATTGTCAACATTCTGACCCCAGGCTTCCACATAGCTGAGATCACAGGTCTGTATGGGCACTGCTAGCTCCCTTGCGGATGTTCAAAGGGGAAGGTTATCACTAAGTCCCCTCCCCCATCCTTTCAACTGAGCTTCCTGGAGTGCAGCGTTAGGCTCTTCCCAAATCCCATCACATCCATGTTCTTCCTTCTGTCATTAGCTTGGGTAGCTCTGACCTATATTTTCCTTTCCCTTTGTTGCTGAAGAAAACATGATCCTCCCTCGCCCCGGGAATGAGTGCCAGGAGAGGGAGAGGCTGGAAAAGCAAGGCTCCTGTCACCCACATGTTCCCACCTCACACATAAGGAAAGTGGAGGCGCAGCCCACACTATCACAAAACAAGCCAGTCCCAGCGCCACAGCCAGATGCTGAGAGCAGCCCGTATTCTGGGCCCAGGCAACACAAAAGAAAACAGATCCCACAAAACAAGGAATTTCATGTTCCAAGCCCAACCCCAGCAAAAAAACAAAAACAAAACAAAACAAAACAAAAAAACCCTTACAGTTCCGGAACTTTGAAATGCCCTAATTGAATTACCTAATATTTGGTTTTTTGATTATTTTCCTCTCTCTTTTCCACAAAGACACTACACTGAGGCAAATTCTGGAAGTCTTTCTCAGTTGGCTTAAATCAGCAGCACCTCCTACCTCTTCCTGTTCTTTCTCTCACGTGGGTCTCCAACTCTGAGTGGATCCCAGCTGTCTAACTCTGCACTCAGTACTGCTGTAACCATTGTGACCATAAATTCGCACATGCCATTAGCTTTCTCTTCCAAGGCTGTCACTTGAGAATCAAAATCTGTCAAATATTTTGGGGCTGGTGCTTGGTTGCAGTGGTCAACCATTTACTCTTTTGTAATCCGTGGCTGAAAATGTCTAGTTCATTCATCCCAACCTTTACCAGAAGGATTGTATTCTACTGATTCTTATGTCATCCACACACTGCTGTGCAAAGTGGAGGGGAAAGAAGAAACGAGCCTTGGAGCGTCATATGCATGTGGCAGATGTGAGGTTTTAAGCTCTCTATGACAGGGGCACAATTCAGAGGCAAAAGTGAAAGAAATCGATTCGGCAGCTAGAAGGAATTCCACCACACTGAAGTGTGAGGGTCAGAAGAGAGAAGTGCATCTTGGGAACGACTTGATTTTGTACAGAGCAGGAAAATTATCTGCTCTCTGCACCTCCCCCATCACCATATGCTGCCTTTAAAATCCCTCCTTCTTGACTTGAAAGGACCAGAATTTGACGGTATTCATGCGTTTGAAGTCCTGGGCTATCGGAAACTTCCTCTTGTTTTGTATTTATCACTTGATATAGCAAAAAATGAAATCCAAGATGATTGGTAAGGTAAAGATAAATGAAAAGCACTAAGCTAACAAGTAACTTTTGAAAGGAGGCAGTTAGTTAGTCTTAAAGAAAATAAGGTAAGTTCTAAAACTAGATTACATGGCTAGCTACTTCAGCGTCTAACCTGAGAACACTTGGTTAAGAAGCAAAACAGGAAATGGTGAACATCCCAAGGCTAGGAGAAGTTGAAACAACATGGTTGAATAAGCAGATTTTCTTAGGTATCTTGCCTTGAGATACAATGAGAAAAGCAGGCAGGTGAAAGACATGAATAGTGGGTAGCGCCACAGAGGAATGCTGACAACATAGTCACACACGTGCCTGACATTTTCTACACTGTTCCATGGATGCCACCTTGCTCGTGTCTCTAAGTCACAGCCCCTATTTTCTCAAGAAAAGGTATTGTCTTCCTTTTCCCAGGAAAACTGTGGAGGTAACTCATTAAGGACTCTGAGCAAAGATTCAGTGGAAACTTAAATAAACCAGGGACATTGCAACTCATAATTTCCACCAAGAACATGCCTACTTCTAAGTCTTTGCTTTCTCCAAAACTCTTGCCAAAATTGCCACTTTGTTTAGCCTCTTGGAGGAAGAAGACATTTCCATTGGGATTTGCAGATCCACCTGTGTTGGGCAGGTGAGGGTTGGGCAAGAGTAAAGGGAGGGAAGGTGCACAGTGATTCTGGGGCTCAACAGACCCAGTCATAATCCTGAACTTGCACTCCAAGAAAACCAGCTTTCTCCCATTTCTGGAACAAGTTCAGAAAACAGCCTACGGCTGCTACTGTGCCATCATGTGGTCTCAGCCATAGTTTTGCGGTTGGTTTTTTGATTCACAAAATGAGTTTTACATAGTTGTTTTGTGTAAGAGATTAGGAGTTATGAACAGGAGCACAAAGGGGCTGCTATGTCGTAGTCACCACTCGAGTTCATGCATCTACAACGTTGACCATGAGACCAGAGTTGGCGGTGCCTGTTGCCACCTTCACCAAGTTCATGCATCTACAATACTGACGGTGAGACCCAGAGTTGGTGAAGCCGGTGGCCACCTTTCATCCAGATTCTAATATCTCCGTCTGCTCACAAAGTCCATGCTCAAGTAGAAAGCAACTTTGAGGGTTTCTGCTGTCCCTTCTTTGCGTTCACATCTTTGCACCAACTTACAGCTACTGTCGATTCCATTCTCCTGGGCCATATGAATAGAATAACTGGACAGATTGGGCATGCAGTAACAGCACCCACTCGGGAATATACAGCCCATCTCTGGGCTTCTGGCTCCCCTCCCAGATCTCCTCCTTTCTAAAACAGCAATGACAAAAGAAATAAAACAAAACAAACATGCAAACAAACAAAAACCTGTTTCTGGACTCACAGTACCCCCTCTTGGCTGACACGGGAATTATTTTTTCTTTCCCAGAGATTTCTACCTTATCTTTCAGTGAAACTTCTCTCTCTCATAGGTCATGGAAGCATTAATTCCAGTCTGATCCTTCATTTCTCTCAAAGTCTGTGCAGCCTTTTTTACTCCACTGCTTTTGAAAAAATAATCTTCTTGGAGCTGAGGAGACAACTTGGTCAATAGAGAGCTTGCCACGTAAGTATGAAGATTGGTTAGGTCATCAGGCACAGGAGAGCACTCCCAGTGCTGAGGAGGTAGAAACAGGGGATCCCTGGTGCTCCCAGGGAGAAGAACCATCACACACACACACACACACACACACACACACACACACATACACACACACACACACACACACACACACACACACACAATCTTGTGTAGTTATTTCAGGAATACCCATTTCTTTTCCCTTTCATTCTTCCCCTTTGTCCCAATTATGAGTTCTCAAATTACTGTGACCGTGGCTGGGAAGTATAATAGCTGCACCTCTCTACGGAGAAAAACCTCTATCCATCTAGAGGCTGAGGGTGTAGCTCAGTAGCACAGCATTTTGCTAGTATGTGCATGGTACAGGGTTTGATTACTAACCCTCCACATAAACACAAAACAGAAATCCTGTATACATTTTCAAAACATGACCCCAATGCCTGAGTGCTGAGAACCCTGCTATGTCTTCAGAACCATACAAAGAAGCTACGGACCACTTCAGCATTCTCCGAGTAACAAAGGTCTTTCCTTAGTAGTGTTTTCCTCTGTGTGTAATTGCCAAAGTTGTCCTCACTTCTCCCCTTCTGTTCTGCTGCAATATAAATCGAGCTACAATATGGGCTAAGTGCATTCCTGTGGGCCATTCTGGAAACCCAAACACAAGCTTTCTGCACAAGGCTGCTAACGAAAAGTGAACTCAAAGCCCCAAACAATTGCTTTAGAATGAATGTTGGAAAATATTAACCACTGCAACTTAACATGGAAAGTTTTGGTTGGAGAGGTCAATTTAAAAGTCAGTTTGATGCCTGGATTCTGTGGCTTTTATCTATTAAATTATGACATTAGCTGAGATTAGCACTTACAAAGATACTCAGGTATAACTTGTCTGGTCAGACATCAATTTTTCCTCTAGAAAAAAGAAAACACTAACTACATCTTGGTTTCATACATTATGGAATGTCCTAGAAAGTTATTAAATTCATTTATATGACTAGACATTGCTACTTGGAAAAAAAGACCAACCATGTCGAAATTGAAATGCTTCTTTTCTTGAATGCAAATTCAAATCACACAGTGATTGGTACCTTTATGTGTCAAGATTTGAATTTAAATTTCCTTTTAAAAATATAGATTAGTGGCTAGAGAAATGACTGAATGGTTGGCTGCTTGCTATCCTTCCAGAGGCCCTGAGTGAAATTCTCAGCACCCACATCATTTGCCTCACAACACCCATAAGTCCAGACACCTTCTTCTGGCCTCTATGGGCACCCATACACATGCAACACACACAAAAAGATGCACACGGAGATAAGTAAAAACAAATCTTTAAAAATATAAATTATTTGGGGTCATATAATTTAAATGGCATTGATTTCAGGCTCATGTGATCAAGTCTTAGATGAACTCTTTGTGTATTCATGTGTGTATGGTATATGCCTATGTGCATACGTGTGTGCTGGTGTGTTTACCCAGGTTGCATATGTGGAAGCCAAAGCTTGAGGTTCTACCCTTCCCAGTCCCTCTCTGCCTTATTGCTTGAGGCAAGGACTCTCACAGAAGCTGGAACTCACAGTTTTAGCTAAGAACAGCTCATCAAGAAACACCTGACATCTTCCTGCTTGCCACCCACGCAAGCACTGAGGTCCCAGGCTCGCCCTAGGTGTTCAGCTATGACATGGTGCTGTGGATCGCAACTCAGGTCCTCATCCTCGTGCAGCAAGCACCCTACCCACCGAGCCATCTCCCCAGCCCCAGAAGTTTGGTCTTAAACTAAAGATCAGGAAGGAACTCAAACTTTATTGCTTTATTTACAAGAGGTTTCAATTTTCCAGCTGCTAAACTTAAGTGTAAAAAATAAAAGGTTATAAACCTGGCATCAAACTGCTGAATTATTTAATAGAATAACAAACAAGATATAGTGACCCTCAATGGGCATGGAAATACAATTTCAAAAATGCTTTTATAAAACATTTTTCTAATTCAGTCATAATTCAAGGTAAGGTTTGTATAATTTTTTCTTTAAAATTGTTCCCATGTTCATAGCCCTGGAATTACTTCCCTATCAACCTAAATGATACAAATTAAAGTCACAAGTACATACCACCCAATCAACTTCATCAAAATTCTGTGAAAATGGACATTCTATATAAATTCTAGATGCATGACATCTAAATAGCCAAAAAAAAACACACAAGGAAAGCAAGAATGATGTCATAAAATAGCTGTGCTATGTACAAGGTATGTTAAACAACTGTCCATCAAACCTTGTCAAACCCTGTCATTTGATCTGACATATTTGCATTTTTGAAAAGCGATATTTATTCTCTGATAATACATATCATTTGAATGCTAACGTTTGGGCAGTACAAGCTAAAACACTGACGATAATGTTTTCAAAACATTACTTTTAAATTATTTTCTTAGGACCCAAAGAGAAAACAGCAGACGAAACACAACCAGACTGAATTGTTTAAAATGTATTTTCCTTTTAATTAAATAAGAAACATCTGTCTAGGGATTTTGGAAATGAATGTAATCCATCTACACTCTGCCTGTAGTATTTTGCATTCAGTGACCAATATTTTGAAAGAAAATTCTCTCTGTAAAGAATTAGAACGGCAAGCACCCCAGGTTGCTGTCTGGATCTACTGCAGGGGAAGTCTTGCCTCTGGACTTGGTTACTAGAAATTACAAATGCTCCGAAGCCAGTCTTTTTCCAAATCTGTATTTGAGGAACAACCCGATTCTCTCTACAGTCAAGGTGAGGTGGTAATTCTGGCTGTCCTTGAACTCACAGAGACCCACCTGCCTCTGCCAACTAAGTGATAGGATAAAAGGCATGCGCCACTACGTCCCACAAGGTTGTGTATCTTTCTATTCCTCGCAAACATCCACACCCCGTTAATGCTCACCTCGGAACATTAGGGAAACAGAAGTTACCAGATTCTGCCAAACACTTGGATTTACGTTAGTAGGGCAAAGAGAATGCAAAGTTGGCACGGGAATGGCTCAGGTTCTTTTTTAACCAGGGGTCACAGTGCGGAATACCATCACTTACTGGTGGTGTCAAACGGTATCTGCTTGCATTGTGCAGACCCCTCTGCGGGCCAGGGACAGTAGTAGACAGCTCCGCCTTCCACGATATCCGGCTGGCTAGTGTTGGCTTTGGGCGCCCCCACCAAGACGCTGGCTCTACAAAAGGGTTTGAGAAAGTCACTTCTCAGGGACCTGTGCGCACAAAATTCAGTCCATAACAGCATACTCACTGGACTGCCATAGGGAGCACAAACAGATTTACGATGGAAGGACTGTCAAACTTGATTTTCTTTTTGGAAGACTATGAACATCAAAAACCTGGTTTTGGGAGAGGCCGCCAATGTTTCTGAATATCTAGCTGGAGGTAGGTGGAGATTGATAAGGAAAAGCAGAGGACAGATCCCAACTGCCTGCAACCTAAGGCACTTGCACCGTGACCTTAGTAGACACGAGCTCGGTAGAAACAGACTGTATTGTCATCTTTATTTTTAAAAATTAGTCTATCTGGTCTCATTCTCTCCATTGTATGACGCTCCTGTCTTTGAATCCGGACTTATACACAAGTGGAGTGTCTTCAAGGTTCACAGGGCTCATCTATCTAGCATGAACCATGAAAGAAGAAACTGGTAGGAAATAGACTCCTAGTAGGCAGTTGGCTAGAATCTCAGACTCCCTTTCCTCTAGGCTGCGGGGACAGGCGAGGAGGAACTGGTACAGGACCCGGGAGCCCGCCACTAACCCAACCCAGAAACTTACGTGCGCACATCAGGTATGTAGAAGTCCAGTGAATAGCCGAAGTAGCTGCCCTCGGGGCCAGTGTACACCGTGAGCTTGTCCACATCCAAGTTGAATGCCAGCGTCGCGGGGGACCACAGCATCCCCAGCGCGGCCGAGATGCAACAGAGACGCGCGAACGGAGGCGCCCGGTTCCCCGGGGGACCGCGGTGGGTTCCCGCAAACATCGCCTTCCGCCCCGAACGCTGTTTACCCGGGATCGGGAGCTGTGGAGTCTGGAGGAAAAGGTCTGATGCTCCCCAGAAGCCGGTGTCTCCGGTTGGTGAGCTCGGCGCATCCACAGTGACAGTCCGCGTCCTGTGCGGCCGGCGATCCCGTGGCTCTGGGCTTACAGCGTCAGATCCCGCGCTCGACCTTCTCCAGTCTAGGGCCGGCGCGCTCTCGGCGCCCTCCAGTGGCTGGTTCCCAAGCTGCGGGCCGGAGCCTGCGCTCCAGGACGGGGGCAATCTCCAGATGCCTTGTTGGAGACTGCTGGGTTTCTACAGTAGTTGAGATTTTAAAGGCCATCTAAATTTCAAGTCATTATTTTGGAGAAGTAGTGTTCTAGTTCTAAAAAGAACGAAATTGTATTTTCACACAATTGCGCGGCTCCGATGTAAAAGTGTATCCCACCTCCAGAAAACAGTGATTATCTGGGTACCACCTCTACTCTTGAGGGATTTTTAGCAACAGTGACTTTCTTCCTTTGTGAATGGGATTTGAAATCTTATTGTAACAACCCTCTTCCGCTCCTACTCCGATGACATAGTAATAAAGAAATCCTGTAGATTTTCTTCAATCTTCCTCAAAGACATCTCGGGTACATTGTATGACTTGGTAGCAAACCCCGATCCTGTGAGGTTGTGATGAAGAACAGCAAGGTCAGAAATGCCACGGTTCACAGTTTACGAAAGCAGGGTTTGGGGGAAAGTTGGTATCAACAGGAACTCTTACCCCACAAGTATTAATTGTTGATCTTTTGAGGAACCTGAAGGTGGAGTGAGGAGAAGAGAAATGTGATATCAATGACTTTGAGGACATACATGGGCGATAAAACAGCATGGCACTGAGGTAACAGAATTTCAGCATAGGGAAAGAAGGGTAAGATGTGACACAAACCTGGAACTCCAACACTGGGATCTGGAGGCAGCTGCCATGTGGGCATCTGGAGTTTGAGGACAGCCTGGACTAACCTAACAAGGTCTGCCTGAGATGTTGTTAAAACAAACAGAAATCAAACATAGATAGATAGATAGATAGATAGATAGATAGATGGATGGATGGATGGATGGATGGATGGATGCCGAAAAGGCAAGCAGTTTCTGGCTGTTTTCAGGAGATCTGGAAACAAATGCAACTGTAGGTAGGAAATTGAATAGGAGACTTAGATTTGGGCCTCATGGGACAGGAAGATGAGGAAAACATTGAAGACACTAATCACCTAGTATGATTATCATGTACACGTTTGAAGTGAGAAGGAGTAACTAGCGGATGGTCTGAAAGAGGAGTGGATCCTGACAGTAGGGATCCAGGCAAAGAGAACTAGAGCAAAAACATGACAGGCGACGGAGATTCAAATGTTCAGGGGCTAAGTTATTGGACGGCAGAGAATGCAGAGATGCACCAGGAAGTTCCACCCAGGCTAACAGAGCAACAAGGAAGGGTCGTAAAAGTTGAGGGAAAGGCCAAAGATCAGGGGAGGATGAAAGACAAGATAAGGGTTCAAGCTGAGTCAAAAGACACCTACTTAGAAGGAAAGGATGCAGAGAGTGGATAAATAAGACGCCAATTTGTGCCCCACCACTCAGGAGGCAGAGGCAGGTGGGTCTCTGAGTTTGAGGCCAGCCTGGTCTCCAGAGTGAATTCCAGGACAGCCAGAGCTATTATACAGAGAAACCCTGACTTGAAAAACAAAACAAAAGATGACAACTTGTGGAGAATTAGTACCACTCCCCCAGTGGGTGTGGTCATCGGTAGGTTGATACAACTTGGGGAGACTAGACAAAAATCTCAGCCTACTGAAGAAGGAGGCTTTTTCATCCCTTTTCCATCACAGCCTGCTCAGTAGGATGCTTTCAATTTTGGGTTTCTTCTGTTCCTATTTTAAAAAATAAAAATTAGCAAGGTGTCACAAGCTTCTTGGCAAAGGGTCGCATCATCATTTCTTCACTCTATTGTCCTTTCCCAGATATAAGGACTAAGGAGTAGATAGATGGTAGACCAGTTGACTGTTTTTCCTTCTCTCTACTAAGATCCATTTGCATTGGAGATAGAGTCTGCTACTTTGGTTAAGTTATTGCTAATAATAAAAGTGAGATGCCCCAGCATGAGTCTGAATGAACAATTCACATGCTGCACACATGTGGAACTACTCAGAGCTGTGATTGTCACTGAGGCTGGGGAATAACCACAACTTGGTCATTTCCTGACACCAGTGCACTGCAATTTTGAAGGCTGTCATATTGCAGGCAAGTCTTAGTTTTATGTGGAATGTCTAAGAAGGCAGAAAGTGACAGCAGGACCCTATATGTGTCCTTGACCAGAGACAGACTTTCTACACAGGACCAGTGCTGAACTACCTGATGCACATTGTTTGCTACCGAACCAGAGGCATCTCTCATACCCACTTTCTTATTCCTTTTGACTATCCCTCGGGGGTTTATTCTTCTTGTTTCTACCTATTCATAAGTAGGTAGTGAAAACAGGTACTGTGTGTGCACATGATTGTGCATGTATACATGTGTATGTGCAGGTCTGTATGCAAACATGTGTGTGTGTGTGTGTGTGTGTGTGTGTGTGTGTGTGTGTGTGTGTGGTCTAGAAGCAGATGTCTTATTAATGTCTTCTGGGTGTCTTCCTCAATCACTCTTATATTTTGAGACAGGATATCACTAAAGCTGAAATTCACCAATTCAGTTCACCTGAACTGCATGACCAACCAACTCCAGGGATCTTCAAGTCTCTGCCTCCCCAGTGAGGGGATTAAAGACTTCCCTGCCACATCCAGGTTCTTCATGGATGCTAAGAAATCAAACCTGCATCCTCATGCTTCCACAGCAAGCATTGTGTCCGCTGAGCTGTCTTCTCGGGCCTCATTTCCTATCGCCACATAAATGGATGAATAGTTGCTCTTTTCTCTTAAAATAGACTCATTCTTGCTTATATATAAGAATATAACTTACTTAGTTATATTCTTAATATTAATTTCTACTTTACAGATGAGAATTTGGGTTAAGTGTCCAGAAAACACAATACTTACAAGCTCACAAAGCAATGAAGTAGTGTAATTTGAGCTCATCTCTAATCAGATGCCCAAAGAATTCCTTACCTTATTTCATTTCCAAGGAATAATTTCTCTTTCTCGCCCGGGTGGACAGTGCTTCCTCCAAGAGCCAAAGACCCACCACCGGGCATGAGAAGAAGCAGTTGATCAGGTTTATCTAAGATGCTCCCTCATTGCAGACTACTGCAATGGCACTTGGTTGCCCCTTAGAGGTTGAAGGGAAGTCCCTATTGCTAGAGACACCATGCCCTTCAGAACAGATCTCAATGCCTCCTCCCAGAAGACTACCTTTCTTGGTACCAGAAGAAGCCATGTGAGATTCCGAATCAATCAATCACCCGTCCTACCCAGCAATGACACAGATGGACCACAACAATGACTAGTTGAGCTTCCTAGTAATACCAGAAGCTTCACTCTTAAAGGCTCACCAACATGACTACCTAAGTGTGACCGAACAAGGGCAACAACAGAGATGCCAACATGGATGAGACAAGGACCATAAGGCCTCAAACCTAAACAAAGAACTACAGATGACTAAGGAATGCTGAGTGGAAGAAATGGTCTGCCCCAGGGAAGAGCAATTAGTTGATACTAAATGATCAATCCTGAAAGTATACATACAAGCAACATTACAGTGAATGAGCAGGCTGTATTTAGGAATATACATATGTGTGTGTATGTATATGTATATATATATTTGTGTGTATATGTGTGTATATACATATATGCATGCAGCAACAGTAGTTGGGGGGGGGAGGTCATGAATTTGAAAGAGAGCAGTGAGGGATACATGGACAGGTTTGGAGGCCAGAAAGAGAAGTGAAAAATGATGTAATTATAATCTCAAAAATAAAAAAAGAATACTTTCTTAAAGTCATGATAAGCATGAGAAATTGCCTTCCTCTAGGCATAAGCTATTGGGGCTGACCTTCTGAGCACGGCCGTGAGAGCTGCTTGTGAGGTGGCTAAGGAGACAGCTGTGCACTTTTCCAGGCAAGCCCGGGGAACAGTTTGATGGTACCTTGTTATCTGGGAGTGGAGGATGGAAGCTCTTTGACCTTTCTGAGAGGCCTGTAGCTTGGCACAGTAGTAAATCTTATAAGAATCCAGAAAAGGGGGGATTTTGAAGACTGTGAGGAAGGCAAAAGCCTGAAGAGGTGTCTTGTACAGTTCAGCCTTCAGGCACTTGGGAACCACGCCAATCAGGTCTTGGGTCCTGTCACAGGCACACATGGACAGTGACAGGTCTTGTGCTCCATAAGCAGTTTGACATTTTAAAGATCTCGTGGTACTGATTTATTTGTTGGAAAAGCAAGTCTTGGAACTGTTTATCGTGCGTGTGAGTATATGTGTATGTTTAATACCAAGAAAGGTATACATAGCTGCTTCCCTAAAAAGAAAAGAACCCAAAGGTCAAAGATGGAACAGATTTGGCTCAAACATTCCAAAAATAAACAAGTAAAGAGCAGCGGAGGGGAAAATGACCTTGGATTTGCAGCCGAGTACAAAATGCTTAAAATCGAGATGCTGTAACGTTTATCCAGCAAGTGCCAACTTTATAGTCAAACACACGCGTAACTTAAGATCAATTATAATGTCTGATTGTGTTTAAGTCTGTTGGGTTTTTTTTTATATGATGGAGTGTAGTCAAGTCTTAGTGTCAAGAGGTCAGAGAGTTCTGACACTATTATTTTCACTAACACAGTCACACTTTCAACATGTTCACTAAACCACATGTGAAACAAGCCAGTGTCAAAAACAGTAGGCTCTTAAGTGAGCCTCCAGATTTCAAACTGTTAAATTTACTTACCGTGTGTGTGTGTGTGTGTGTGTGTGTGTGTGTGTGTGTGTGTGTGAAGTGTGAAGTCAGAGGACAATCTATGGACAACCTGTGGGACTTTCACCAACTGAGGTTCTGGGGATTGAATTCAGGACATAAGACTTGTCCACAAGTGCCCTTCCCACCAAGATATCTTTCCAGGCCCTCTATCAACTTTAAAAGTCAATGTAATAGGGAAATTTAGTTTTTCGATCTCTTCTTGTAATCTGGGCAGTTACAGCAATTACAGCTTTTACTT